GAGCTCGCCAGCAAGACCTTTAAGGGGCTGGAGGTCAGCGTCCTGCAGGCAGCTGAAGGTAGGCACCGCTGCTCGGTCCCCTTCGCCGAGCGCCCAGGCAGTGCCTCTGCCATTGCCGCCCCCCCACCCCGCACCGGTCAGGGCCCTCCAGCTCCAGCCACACGCTTGGGGTGGAGGGAGCGAGACAGCACCCCGTCTCCAGCTCCTAGGGACCTCTGGATAGGCCACACAGGGTGTTCTGAGTGGGGTGTGGAGAACCTAAGCTTTTTCTAAAGTCTGCCTGCTATGCTCTGTTCCCTCCTCTTCCCAGTGACCCGGAGGAGTTGGAATGTACAGTCTTTTGCTGGGACCCTCTAGGTAGGATAGAGTTGACAGTTTGCAAGGGTTAGGAAATCAACAGTCACTGCATCCCAAGAGTCCCTGTCTGGATTCCTGGAGCTCACAGTGACTTTGGATGGTGCAAACCAACTCTTAGTGAGTGGGACCAGAACATTTTTCCTAGGGGCTTCCGGGAGACTAGCGGCCGGAAGAGGCTCGTCACAGCCTGTGTTTACTGTGGTCTAGGAAGCTGAATCAAATCTCAAGTTGCAGGAGGGAACAGCGGTAGACTCCAGGCCAGATGGGCCTAGGTGGGGCTTGGGTTCTGGGGTGAGAGGCTGGGGTGAGATCGCCCTACTCTTCTGTAGAAGCCCATCTTGTCATTTCCTTCCAGGCCGAGACGGGATGACCATCTTTGGGCAGCGGCAGACCCCCAAGAAGCGGCGAAAGTCACGCACGGCCTTCACTAACCACCAGATCTACGAGTTGGAAAAGCGATTCCTGTACCAGAAGTACCTGTCCCCAGCAGATCGCGACCAAATCGCCCAGCAGCTGGGCCTCACCAACGCCCAGGTCATCACCTGGTTCCAGAACCGGCGTGCTAAGCTCAAGCGGGACCTGGAGGAGATGAAGGCCGATGTGGAGTCCGCCAAGAAACTGGGCCCCAGCGGGCAGATGGACATAGTGGCGCTGGCCGAACTCGAGCAGAACTCGGAGGCCGCAGGCGGTGGAGGCGGCTGCGGCAGGGCCAAGTCCAGGCCAGGCTCTCCGGCGCTCCCCCCAGGCGCCCCGCAGGCCCCGGGCGCTGGACCCTTGCAGCTCTCTCCAGCCTCTCCGCTCACGGACCAGCGGGCCAGCAGCCAGGACTGCTCAGAGGATGAGGAAGATGAAGAGATCGACGTAGACGACTGAGCAGGCCCGTCGCCTGCATCGCGGTTGGTCCTCCAGCGCCGATCACCCGCCGCCTCCGGACGGACCTGACCTCGAGGGGGCCAGGACGCCCCAGCTCCTGCCTCCTCCCTGTCCCCAGGCCTGGACTCTGAGCAGCCGCCTCTTCCCTCTCAAGCAATAAACCTGGCTGGCGGCTGAGCCGGCGCCACGAGTAAGCGGCCTCCACCGCCCCAGCCCTCGCCGTGCAATTCTGTATGGCTTCTGTATAAATACTTAAACCTATATAGCGAGTCGTTCCGCCGCAGCCTGAATTTTTCTTTCTTTTATTTTTTTAAATACCAGATATTTCGATGTTTGCAAAGCTCTTTGGCTGCCGGGCTGGTGGAGGGCGAGGCAGAGTCGTGAACGAGGAGGAGAATGAGAACGAGCGCTAACCCTGCAATTCAGGAAGGGGCAGCTCCGGCTGTTTCGGTTTTTCTCTGCATGTGGCGAATGCACGGCCGGCTCCCTCCTGCATCCCTCAGCCTCTCGCAGTTGACTTCTTTTCTTTCTTTCCACCCTTTTTCCCCGCGTGGGAAGGGAGTGAGGGGACAGCTGGGTCCTGACTTGCAAGTTTCAAAATCAATCTTTCCTTCCCCACACCAGGGAGCTATCTCCGATGCCATCTCTGCCTCCGATGCCCAGACACTATTTTTTAAGATTCCTCCCTCCCGCCTGCATTTTTTCAGACTGACTGCTGAAGTCTGGTTCTTAATGACAAAGCAGGGGGACATCCAATCGACTAACCATTGGAAACAGAACCCAAAGCCCTAGAATTATTTTTTACTCTTTTTAGAATTTTTTTGCATGTGACAGAGACAGAAGGAGGCCAATCCAAGTCCTCTTCCCCACCTCCTCTGCAGGCTGGGTCTCTCTTGCCGTTTCCAACACCCTACTCCTAGCTCCACTTTGTCAGGAAAGGGAGGCCTGATGACGATGGGTCCCTCGTGCCCTTTTCCTGCTCCTGCCCTGCCCTCTCCTCCGCGGACTGTACCCAAGGCCTCTTTCTCCGATAAATAAAGTCTTTGCCATTTTACTAGAACCCGAGATGCCCGTGTGTGAGTCAATGGCCCAACCGGGAAGCGGCGGGCATGCTGAGCTTCTCGCTGTTCTTGGCCTGTTACCCTAGCCTTGGAGATTGGGGGGTGTTTCAGGGCAGGCGTGAGGGCTAGGGACGGAGAGAAGCGGCGGGAGGAGGTGCTTCTTGTCTGAGGACCCAAAGCAGCTACTAAATGGGAGAGAGAATCAGGCTTCGCCAGGTCCGGGTAAAAGCTAGGTGTGTGATCCTGGGAGAAAGGAGTGTGCTCACCCTGGGCCCTGCATACGGAATCCTTTGTTGGGATGAAGGGTGGGGAGGAGAGACTGTTCTGGCTTTCCCCGAGCCCCACCCCTGGCCCTAAGCTCTCCCTCTGCTCCGAAGCCCTGGGCTGAGTCCCGGGTGCGCTGGCTGGCAAGTGTCACTCAGCCTGGCCGAAGGGTTCTGTCCGGGTTCCGGGGTTAGGGGTAGAGGTGACAAGGAGGCCAAAGGCAAAAAGGGCAAACCGAATTGCACACAAGGGCGCTCACTCTGGGACGAGCGCCCAAAGGCCGGGAGTCTAAAGGCAAAAAGGGCAAACCGAATTGCAAACAAGGGCGCTCACTCTGGGACGAGAGCCCAAAGCGGCCGGGAGTCAGGGTAAATTTCTGGCAACGTTCACTTATTCCGCCCGAACTCGGCCTGCCAGCGGCAGGCACTTGGCTCCCCCGGCGACTCGGGGCTTGGGCCCAGCGGGACTGGGGTGGGGGGTCGGCGGCTTTCACTTTCCGGACAGAGCGAGTTTCTCTGGGCTTTGTTGTCGCTGCGCTGGCGAGTGGCCGCTGTCACCAGAGTAGGGTCCCGCCTCCGGCCACTCGGCTCTCTTTCTCCGCAAAATTGATGTGAGAAATGCGCATCTGGTCTGGGGCAGGCTGGGGCCCCCGGGCCTGAGTCGGGAAAGTGTGTCCTGGAGGAAAGGAAGAGGCAGCCAGAAACGGGGTGGGAAAAGGAGCTCGGGAGACCCCAGGACAGAGAAGGAGTGGAGAGGCGGGGAGGAGAGGGAGGAGGGGATTCACAGAGGCCTGAAGACGAGGAAAAGGGAGGAAAGGGACTGGGAAGAAGGGAGAAGAGAGAGGAGCAGGACAGGGCGAAGGCGGCGGCCGGGCAGGCTC